CGCACCGATGACCTACCCACGTCAACATTTACCCAGAATGCTTTGCATGTAAATAAAATGGCCCAGTCCGTGTTAAAATATATATTTTTAAATTTTACAAAACTAAACAGCCTACAGTATTTTTACAGTCTTTCTTTTACAATTAAAATATATGTTTATCAAATAAAGTCTAATGTTACAACTAATAGGGGATCCCTTTAAGTCTCTTTGATAAACAAAAATATTTATGACACTTACTGGCAAGTTGCATAATAATTTGGTATGCTGTGTATATAAATTTACTAATTAATCAGCACTTTAAAATGTAAGTGAATCTTTTAGGACAGTGCCCAGGGATGACTTTTGTTGAAAATTGGTGTTATTTAATAAACTCAATTGAACTGTGTGTAGTTAAAGGTGATATTTGGCTTTGTTGGTGCAGGCTACAAAAACGCTAGCTTTTCAGGACACCGCGCTAACAGCTTCTCTGAATATGCTGAGCTAGCTCTTCTACCATTTAAAGAGATGAAAATAATAGTTTTTCTGACAAACGATAACTGTGTGCCGTGCTCGTTTTAGTTCAGACAAACATGCGCTCAGAGATATGATTAAGTTCCACTTGGATGTAGAATCCTGAATTGTGAGAGCTCGATGGAGCCATACTGTAGCTGTGCACTTCTTTCAGTCACTTTTTATTTTATGTCTGCTTCTGTGGCTGCCTGCCAGGACACCGGCGCACAAACCTCAGTGACCCGCGGTRGCAGAGCGCTGAGATATGGCTCAGCAGATGGCAAGTCTTCTTTTCTTATTTTATAGTCTGTATATCACTTTATCCTTAGTTTAGTCTTCCTCTTTGGCACCATAAAACAGAACTTCACTTTGATGGTGTCATGTAGAGCATTGCAGACCAATCAGTTGAACCTGTAACACTTGGCAAGATGGCACAGTGAAACTCTTACCAAACATTGAGAACTTGACAGCAAACCTGTTTGGTTCTGCAGAATATTGCTCCTTATGATTAGCCTCTTTGTCTTTTAGCAACTTCTAAAGCTGCGATCTATATATAAAATGCTTATCAGTTTTGCTCAAAAATACTGTATATAATTTCTTCTGTTTTATTATAGGTCTTTATGTATCAGGAAATATAATTATTCTGTTTTTTACCAGGTTCAAATTTAACATCAAGTGTATAAAAATACTTAAATTTTTACCATGTCATTGTGTATTAAAAGGGGACATATCACTTTTTTAGCCATTAATTACATTTTGTTGTGTAGCTGGAGTCTCTAGGAGTAGATTTTAGGGTGTATTCATACCCGACACACTTGTCCAATTTAAACGGACCAAAGTTTGTTTCCCCCGTTGGTCTGAAGTTTTTATGCAGATGAATAAACTCATGCAAACTCTAGTGCGGACCAAACAACTGGTCCGAGACCCACTTTTTGACGTGGTCTCAGTCTGCTTCCAAATGAACTCTGATGGTCTCATGGTGTGAATATAGACCGGCCTCGACTGCGACCAACTACAGGAAATGTGCTTGTTTGGACTTCACGAGTCACTGTTCTTAAGCAACATGGTAACAATTAGCCCTTCAGTGCTGCTGACGCTAACACTATGCTACAAACAATGAGCCTTGTGGGTCAGGGAACACAGAACATMTCGTCTCCTTTGGGTTGCAGCACRCATTTTCCAACRCGTAGTCTCCCCAGGTGCTGCCTACATATCTAGATATTTTGTTTGGCTCATATTTTTCAATCCATTCAGTTTTCTCTATTTTCTCCAACATTTTCTAAATTTTTACTTTACTTTTTACCAACTACAATCTGCTGGACTTCATTCTCCCCTGGTTCTGGGTCAGATTCTGGCTCCAAATACGTAAGGCTGGATGGACAAGTCTTCTGTTGACATTTTTTATTTATTTGTAAATAAAAGGTTTTTGCATTGCTATATAGGGATAAACCCCTCTATCAAACTAGAATGGGCTGGTCTGGAAGCTGGAGGGGTGCGGATTGTGAAGCGCCTCATTTGGATTTAAAGAGACAGCCTCAAAATGAGTTGATCTAAGAGACACACCTCAGAAAAGGGGTGAAAGAGGGGCTTGTGGAGTTACAATAAGGAGGAATTCAGACCAAAACATTGCAGTTAGCTGAAGGATTCGATATTCCTACTTTAAACACAAACAAAAAACAGGAAACTTGTGTGGAAAAACGAAGTCCCCACCTATTTCTTCTGTAGGATTTATAATACAAAGTAGCAGACAGGAGTTACTTTGGTCTGTCTGCTGGTCTGAAGCATACAGATGTGAGTACAACACTTAAGAAAGGAGGTTAACTTTCAGTTTCCACATGTAACTCTGCAGGACCACATAAATTCATAAATGTAATCATGTAAAAAAAATTATTTTATAAACGGTGCTTTTGAGGTATTTTCATGTTTTCATCACAGCTTCAATCAGACCCTTATATTTCTATTCACTGAAGAAAAATATGATTCTGAAGTAAATCCATCCTTGACACATTTCAAACATGACATTTTAAGACAAAATCACATGAATATTTAAGCGTTTCATACATAAATTAAGCTCATAACCATCAGGGGAAGTCGCAGGAATGAAAAGGTTTCCTCTTGTGTTCATTATTTTAAAGAGCATAAAACCTGTGTGTTTGAAACTGCAGAAACAAGAAGGAAAGGGGGATGATCTGTGGGGAAAAGGAGCGCCACACGAGTATCCATCTTTGTCAGTGGAGGGAGGAGGAGCAAGGAGAAGGGAGGATCAGAGGGAGGAGTGTGGGGGCAGAGGTGGCAGGAGCAAACAATCTAACCACCTCCATCTCAGGGCTATTTTTGGCAAATATAAAAAAATATATTTCTATCTGTGTGTGTGTGTGTGTGTGTGTGTGTGTGTGTGTGTGTGTGTGTGTGTGTGT